AACTTTACTCTGTTGTTTACAACAACACAAACTTGCATAATAAATGTGGTTCATATTTGATCTCTGTTCTTTCAAGGCATATTTTCCAACTGCCTTGTTTAGTCCTTTTCATATGTTCATTTGCTTGTAAAGTAGCATGAAATTTCTGGTCCTGTCTTCTACAAGTGAATTTTATCTAGGTCTAGCAAAATAACCTGGATTCGGTGATTGAGTCAACCTTGTATTTACATTATTTTTGGCTAGAATAAGTAATGAAGTTTGGAACTATAAGAAATACTTTAAAAAATAAAAACAACAACAAAAACCAAACCCTGAGGCCGGGCGTGGTAGCTCAAGCCTGTAATCCCAGCACTTTGGGAGGCCAAGGCAGGTGGATCACAAGGTCAAGAGATCCTGGTCAACATGGTGAAACCCTGTCTCTACTAAAAATACAAAAAATTAGCTGGGCATGGTGGCGCGTGCCTATAATCCCAGCTACTCAGGAGGCTGAGGCAGGAGAATTGCTTGAACCCAGGAGGCGGAGGTTGCGGTGAGCCGAGATCGCGCCATTGCACTCCAGCCTGGGTAACAAGAGCAAAACTCCGTCTCAAAAAAAAAAAAAAAAACCTGATGATTCATAAGGGTTACTCAGCTAAAGTTGAGCCCAGCCTCATTTCATCTTTTGATGAGGCTTAGGTATCAGGGAAATGCTAATTGAGTCTATTGATTTCATCAGGGCACCTGACAGTCTATTCCTTGTTGCGCGGACTTTGCTGTTGAGTCTTGCTGTCATCCAGTCTAGACTGCCGTAGCACAGTCTGGCAGCCTCTGCCTCCCAAGTAGCTGGGATGACAGGCACCTGCCAGCACGCCTGGCTAATTTTTTTTTTTTTTTTTTTGAGATTGAGTTTCGCTGTTGTTACCCAGACTGGAGTGCAATGGCACGATCTCGGTTCACCGCAACCTCCGCCTCCTGGGTTCAAGCAATTCTCCTGCCTCAGCCTCCTGAGTAGCTGGGACTACAGGTGCGTGCCACCATGCCCAGCTAATTTTTGTATTTTTAGTAGAGACGGGATTTCACCTTGTTGACCAGGATGGTCTTGATCTGTTGACCTTGTGATCCACCTGCCTCAGCCTCCCAAAGTGCTGGGATTATAGGCGTGAGCCACTGCGCCCGGCTTAATTTTTGTATTTTTAATAGGGATGGGGTTTTGCCATATTGGCCAGGCTGGTCTTGAATTCCTCAAGTGATCCGCCCACCTCAGACCCCCAAAGTGCTTGGATTACAGGCATGAGCCACGGCACCTGACTTCCTTGTTGCATGGATTTAGAGCTGACTGAAGCAACTGTAGCCAAAGATTGAGTTAATTACCTACCTGCAAGGAGAGCACTAGTGTTAGCCCATTCTCATCCTGTGTATTTTTCAGCTTAGATGAAGATGAAAGCTTTATCAGATTTGCAGATGCCACAAAACTGGGAGAATAGGGCGGGCGCGGTGGCTCAAGTCTGTAATCCCAGCACTTTGGGAGGCCGAGGCCGGTAGATCACAAGGTCAAGAGATCAACACCATCCAGGTCAACATGGTGAAACCCCGTCTCTACTAAATATATAAGAAAAATTAGCTGGGCATGGTGGCGCGTGCCTGTAGTCCCAGCTACTCAGAAGGCTGAGGCAGGAGAATTGCCTGAACCCAGGAGGCGGAGGTTGCGGTGAGCCGAGATCCTGCCATTGCACTCCAGCCTGGGTAACAAGAGCGAAACTCCGTCTCAAAAAAAAAAAAAAAAACCTGGGAGAATTAACAAGTACATTTATTTGGCAAAATAAGTTTTCATCTCTAACCTAAGTAGGCTGAAATGATGTGTCCTAAACTAAGAGGAAAAAGTTAATAAAGATAAATGTAAATAAGTTCACCTTAAACTCAGTATGCATCAGAACTGAGAGAAGACTGTTTTAGGACGTGTCAACGTTGTCCAGTGCCCAAAAGCCACCAGAGGCTTACGGCTCCCCACTCTTGGTATTAGGTTCAATTTTGGATAACCAGTCTGAGGAACAGAGATGAACTGGAAGGCAACCTCCAAAGAGGTGGTGGAGGATTGCTAGGGCCTTTTATCCTCTACAGGAGAAAACCTGTCGGCACTTCAAACATTGCCGTGTGAGGAAGAGTGACTTGACTGTGTTGCCCCAAGAGACACACCAAAATCAATACCTGTTATTAAGGCTCTGAGACTGGTCTGAGCCCAGACATTGGAACCACTGAGTTTAGCGACCTACCCTCAAATCTCCCAGGTCAGGCAGAAGCTGGAAGATGGCCTAGTTGTTAGGAATGTTGTGAGGGAGGGGAGGCCGAATCGGTTCCAATTTTATCTAAAAGTAGCTAGAAAAGCAAGTTGCAATGATGCGCACCTGCAGTCCCAGCTACTTGGGAAGCTGAGGCACTAGGGCCACTTGAGCCCCTTGGGGGCTCAGTCCAGGCTGGGTGACAGTGAGACTTTGTCACTTTAAAAAGCCAGAAGAGAAGAGCTCAACCTATTGGGAAAAACCATAGAAGGCAATTCTGAAAGCCAAATTCTGAATATAGGCTAATATAGCAAGCAAGCAGGGGTAGCATAGAGCCATTTGTTCAGCTTCCAGAACAAGTTACTCTATTCATCTCTCTTAAAAATCTTGAAAAGAACAAGGAAATTAAGCCATTGGACTCTGACCAGATACTCTGCTTCCTTCTCTGGTATGGGCAACTTAGAGACAGCAGCTACTATCAGTTTATCTGTAATCTGAGAATTTATCTTACATACCAGACATGCTGGGGATATAGGATACCATGGATTTTAGTTAATACATTTCCTCATAGAGAATAAGGAAATAAGTTAACAGTCTTGTTCTAACAGTTCTGTTAGTCACATGATCTCTAGTGATTGGCAGTTTGGCCTGGTTTCTTCCTGGACTATTTAGATGGGTGGATTCATTGGTGTATCTCTGTCTTTCCTTTTCCTTTCTCCTTTGTTTTTGTATTTATACACTTGTATACAACTTTGTAATGTGATTTTCCTAGGTAGCATTTTAATTAGTTGTATTGGGTGGTCTACATGTTCACTGGAAAACTTATTTTTTGTATATATGAGTGACAGGATCTTGCTCTGTTGCCCAGGCTGGAGTGCAGTGGTGTGATCACAGGTCACTGCACCCTGGATTTCCTGAGCTCAAGCAATCCTCTCACCTCAGCCTCTTGAGTAGCTGGGACTATGGCACACACAACCACACCTGGCTAATTTTTTGGTCTTTTTTGTAGAGACAGGGTCACACTATGTTAACTCATGCTGTTGTATTTTCTTTAAGATTGGTTTAAATTCATGCAAACTCTAGCATCAGAACTACCCAGATGGCAGATTCTGGGCAGAACATGGGACAACTGTTGAAATGTCTGTTCAGCTGCAGTCAGACACCCGGGCACTTAGTGCCCTCTCCCTGGCTGATGCCCAGTTTCATTGAAGAACCAGGAGAGGGCCAGGCGCAGTGGCTCACATTTGTAATCCCAGCACTTTTGGAGGCCGAGGTGAGCAGATCATGAGGTCAGGAGTTAAGACCAGCTTGGCCAACACAGTGAAACCCCATCTCTACTAAAAATACCAAAATTAGCTGGGTGTGGTGGCGGGTGCCTGTAATCCCAGCTACTCAGGAGGCTGAGGCAGGAGAATTGCTTGAACCAGAGAGGCAGAGGTTGCAGTGAGCCCACATCATGCCATTGCACTCCAGCCTGGGTGACAGAGCTAGACTCCCTAAAAAACAAAAACAAAAAAACCCAGGAGAGGAGAGCCTGATATTTGTAAACATAGCTTTAGTGGAAGCACAAGGGTTAGGAGCCTTGAATGGTGAAATATGAACCCTGAGTGGATGTGAGGGTGAGACGTTAGACTTGAGACAGGAATTGCACAGCATAGGATCTGACACAGAAGGTACTCAGAAAATTTTGTTTTCCCGCTGGGCATGGTGGCACGTGCCTGTAGTCCCAGCTACTAGGGAGGCTGAGGCAGGAGAATAGCTTGAACCCAGGAGGCAGAGGTTGCAGTGAGCCGAGATCGCGCCACTATACTCCAGCCTGGGTGACAGAGCGAGAGACTCAGTCTCAAAAAAAAAAATTCGTTTTCCTTCCTGAGCGCAGGAGGACTCCCAACCTTTCCATTCCGTGTGGTCAGTGAGGGAGCAAACTGACTTGAGAATGCTGCTGTTAGGTTCGCCTGCCACAGAGGAGAGTACGCCTTGACCTCAATCTTCATTCTCTGGTTCAAGTGAACTCTGCTTCTGCGTCTGCTGAATCCCCCGGGCCGACTGCCCCTAGACGGCCGAGGCCACCTCAGCTTCTCTTGAACCAGAGAATGGATAATGAGTTCAAGTTTTTAACAATTTTTATTTAAATAAACAGCTTTGTAAATAGTTTTGTGTCTTGGTCTCTCTCTCTCTCTTTTTTTTTTTTTAAGAGGGAGTTCTCACTCTGGCCAAGGCTTTTTTTTTTTGAGACGGAGTTTTGCTCTTGTTACATAGGCTGGAGTGCAATGGCGCGATCTGGGCTCACCGCAACCTCCGCCTCCTGTCTGGCCCAGGCTTAAGTGCAGTGTCGCAATCTGGGCCGACTGCAACTTCTACCTCCTAGGCTCAGACAATTCTCCCACCTCAGCCTCTCGAATAGCTGCGCACCACCATGCCCAGTTAATTCTTGTATATTTAGTACAGATGGGTCTCAAACTCCCGGGCTCAAGCGATCCGCCCGCCTAGGCCTCTCAAAGTGTTGGGATTACAGGCATCAGTCCCCGTGCCTGGCCTAGGTAAAAAATATTAGAAAATGAGCAAGTGATTTGCAGCGTCTATCTCCCACCTTGACTGCTGGTCCACACCCTACTGTCCTAAGCTGCTCAGGCTGCGGTGCAGACGAGAGGAAAACCGCTATGCCTGCCAGCCTTGGGAATGGGGCGCAGAGCTCCTGGCCGCGTCCCGCCAAGTGGGCGGGAACAACTACAGCCCCCAGCGTGCCTCGCGGTCGCCCGTGCCCCGCCGCGCTGCGCGTGCGCGTAGGCGCCGTTGAGCCCTGACGGTGTGAGCCTGGAAGCTGCTAACCCAACCCGGATTGGCGCTGAGGTGGCCCGCGGGGCAGGTGAGTGCAGGGCGGGAGTCGGCGGGGACAGTTCCCCTTAGGCGGGGGCTGCGGGGCAGCTGTGGTCTGACTGTCCGACCGAGGGATTCACCGGCCGAAGGCGCCCGCGAGAGAGAAGCACCGCTTCGGGCCGGAGAGCCGGCGGGCCGACCTCGCTTGCGCCGCGGGTGGAATGGGGGCCCGGGGGCGCTGCGGGTCGTGGAGGTCGGCTGCGTCCCCCGGGCCGGCTGCCCCTAGACGGCTGAGGCCATCTCAGGGGTCCGGGGCGTGAGCCGGAATCCACCGCACTGGCAGTCGGGAGCGGTTTTCTTGAAACTGCGCCTGATGCGGGGGGGGGGTTAGAAAAAGTCCGGCTGGCTCGGGCACCGGGACAGCTGCTGACTCCTCCTCAGGTTAACTTGCGGCTTTCCCTTGAGGATTCAGATCCAGGTGCAGAACCCGAGCTCCAATCAGGCTGAGACTCGGAACAGCGGTGTGTCTGCATCTTAGCACCGGGGAAACTGAGGCATGCGTTAGCCTGAATCACCCGGTGTGCATAGGACTGGAATTTTGGAAATTATCCTCATACTTAGTTTACTGATCTAGGCTCTTTTTTATTTGGAGAGAAAAAGATGTTTGAAAGGTTGTTTTCAGTGACTGGGTGACTAGGGTATCTTCCAGTCTCGCGCTGTACGTTTGTGGCGGGTTGATGGCTCCTTTCTGTGTGTTTTGTGGTGGCATGGAGATGTCTTGGAATATTCCACACTGAAAGGTTTGTGATTAGGTTTGTAGGCGCATAAATTTCCCACTTTTTCTGCTCATCTCTTTTAGTTCCAATTCTCTCTGCACTCCAAACAGTTGAATTACATATTTGCTTTACACTATTTCTGTTCTTGGTGATTAATTTGTATTTATTTATTTATTGACAGTTTCGCTCTTGTCACCTAGGCTGGAGTGTAATGCCCTGATCTCGCCTCAGCTCACTGCAACCTTTGCCTCCCGGGTTCAAGTGATTCTCCCGCCTCAGCCTCCCCAGTAGCTGGAATTACAGGCGCCTGCCACCATACCCAGCTAATTTTTGTATTTTTAGTAGAGATGGGTTTTTGCTATGTTGGCCAGATTGGTCTCAACACCTGACTACAGGTGATCCACCTGCCTCGGCCTCCCAAAGTGCTGGGATTACAGGCCTGAGCCACCGTGTCCGGCCCGATTAATTTGTAATTCTGTAGATCGATATCTTTCCTGGCTTTTGTTAATTCTTGGCTTTTGTTAATTCTAAGTGAATGTGGCGTTTTCATCCCTAATTATCACATTGGCCTGAGTTTTAGTTCTTCTCCCTGTCCCTTTTTAAGTGTGGAGGTGTGTGGCCTGGGAGGGAGGGGAGAGGGTGAGGTGTTGATCATGGGTAATAGTTGAACATAACTCATGACCAGAACATCAGAAGACTGTGGACAAATAATTGTTTCAATATAAAAATGCATACGTCCTGAATCTGGGAAGTGTCAGGTTAATAGAAAAGTGAACTGGGGTAGAACATCACAGAAATGAACCCCACATTAGGGTGAGATATTGAGACGGGAACTGAGGAGATAATCATCTCTTTCATTTTACTGCCATGTTTCTGTGCCTGGAGTGAATGTGAGAATGCCTTGCTGGTTCAGAAGCTTAAAAAAAAGTTCTGTGTGTTTTCAGTTTTTCTCTTCTTAGTTCTCAATGAAGGTTTTGGCAGAAACCCAAAATCTTGTACATTTGATAATTTAACATCTGTTTCATCTGCTTACTCTCCTCCAGATAGTCTTTATTAAGCTGGTGACGTCAGTAATTTTCCACAGCAGCCATTCATAAGCTCATCCAGACTCAAAAGGAAATGGGAATAGCACAATGGGTGTTACAAAAGGAAAAAAGATCCTGTTTCTTTGCCATCACACACGCAGATTTAGAGAATCTAGACTAGAGCGCAAGATACGTAGGAGGGGTCAGAACACCAATGTCCAGGCTCCTACCTATAGTGATAATCATTGAAACCGTTTCTTGAATAGAGTCTAACAGACTCTAAATTCTGCTCTGACTCTGCTGTACTACCTAGTCAACACCTGTGTTCAAGTCTTTCTCATTCATAAAAAAAAATATGAAACTTCCCTGTGATCATAATTTTCCTTCAAATTACTACATTTATCCTACTTTTCCTTTCTAGACTTATCCTTAAGAAGCAGACTCTACATGCTTCTCCTCCATTTACTCACTGGCTTCTATCCTCAACTCTGTTGAAACTACTCATGAATTCCTCTCAACGATTTACTGAATATCTACTGTGTATATCATCTTCCAGACTTACAAAGATGGCTAAGACACAGTTCTTGCCCTCAGGTGGTTTAGGGATTAATGAGAGAGAGAGGGTAGTTTATACATGTCAGTATAAACTGCTGATAGGGCAGTTTTTATAGTTAGAGAGTTGGGGGAGGAACGCTTGAGAAGATGTCACTAGACTGACAACACAGAGAAAGCTTAAATTGTTCTGGACTGTAGTGTCAAGAGTGCATGTTCAGGCATATACTTTTAGGGCAAAGCTCTATCCACTGAGAGATGACATGGTTCAAAGATACGGTATAGGCTTTAGAGTCTGACAGACCCGGTGACTGAGCCGCGGTTTCTTCTTTGTAATGCTTCCCTGCAGTGTAAGCTCTATGAAAGTAGGGCTTTGTGGCTGGGCGCAGTGGCTCACGCCTGTAATCCCAGCACTTTGGGAGACCAAGGTGGGTGGATCACGAGGTCAAGAGATCGAGACCATTCTGGTCAACAAGGTGAAACACCATCTCTACTAAAAATACAAAAATTAGCTGGGCATGGTGGTGCGCGCCTATAGTCCCAGCTACTCAGGAGGCTGAGGCAGGAGAATTGCCTGAACCCAGGAGGCGGAGGTTGCGGTGAGCTGAGATCGCGCCATTGCACTTCAGCCTGGGTAACAAGAGCGAAACTCCGTCTCAAAAAAAAAAAGTAGGGCTTTGTGTTGTTCACCACCTCACCCCCATCTCCCAGAACAGTGGTAGGTGAGCAGTAAGTATCTGTTGAATGAGGCCCAGCATGTGGCTCACGTCTGTAATCCCAGGACTTTGGGAGGCCAAGGAGGGAGGATCATTTGAGCCCAGGAGTTCAAGACCAGCCTGGGTAACATGGCAAGACCCTATCTCTACCAAAAAGTAAAATGACCAGTCATGGTGATGTGTGCCTGTGGTCCCAGCTACTCGGAAGGCTGAGGCAGGAGGATTGCTTGGGCTCAGGAGGTTGAAGCTGCAGTGAGCCATGTTTCCACCTACTCTAGCCTGAGGAAGAGAATAAGACTGTGTCTCAAAAACATGGTACTAGTACTATCACTAGTAGCATATGACTGAAATAATAGGCTGTACTACCTTATCAACAACTGTGTTCAAGTCTTTCTCATTGAGAAAGTTTTCAGTGTGGCTTATGAACTGATTTGGACAGCACCGTTGTTTGAATGCTACATACATAATCACCTCCCCTTTTTAAAATTTAGGCTTACTAATGTATGCTCACCATTTATAAATGAGGAGAGATACATTCACCTATTTTCAGTAGGTTCAGTGAACTGTTAACTCTCTCTTCTAACATATGCCTCTTCTGCAGTTATAAACATATTTCTGCTTTTCTAAGTGTGATACATGTTTTGTATTTGTTTTCCATCAAGTCAGAAGTGAGATTGACATCAGAAATGACATTGACAGGCCAAGAGTGGTGGCTGATGCCTGTAATCCCAGCACTTTGGGAGGCCAAGGTGGGTGGATCACCTAAGGTCAGGAGTTTGAGACTAGCCTGAGCAACATGGTAAAATCCTGTCTCTGCTAAAAATAAAAAAATTAGCCAGGTATGGTGGCAGGCACCTGTAATTCCAGCTACTCAGGAGGCTGCAGCAGGAAGCTGAGGCAGGAGAATCGCTTGAACCCGTCTGTGAGGCAGAGGTTGCTGTGAGCCGTGACTGTGCCATTGCACTCCAGCCTGGGTGACAAGAGCGATCTCGATCTCAAAAAGAGAAAGAAATGAGATTGACAGCATCAATTCAGTTTTTAAAAATCTTATTCTTCGAAAGGTATAATTTCAAATTAAGACAAAGATAATTTTGTTTTCCACTACAACATAATGATGTGACTTTTCCCAGCCTTCTCTAGATATCTAGTTATCCTGCAAGCTAACATTCTAAAGACATGAAACAAGCTGGGCATGGTGGCTTATGCCTGTAATCCTAGAGCTTTGGGAGGCTGGGGTGGAAGGCTTCTTACTGGAGCCCAGAAGGTCAAGACCAGCCTGGGCAACATGGTGAGACCCTGCCTCTACAAAAAAATTAATAAAAATTAACCACATGTGGTGGCATGTACTTGTGGTCCCAGCTACTCTGGAGGCTGAGGCAAGAGGATCACTTGAGCTCAGGATATTGAGGCTGTAGTGAGCCATGATCACACCACACATCCCACCCTGGGTGATAAAGGGAGACCCTGTCTCAGAAAACTAAAAAAAAAAAAAAAAAAAAAAACCAGATCATTTCCTTTTTTCCTCTCCTGTGTTTGAGTTCATTTGTAAATATCCTTAATTGTGTTACTTGGGGATAGGGTTAAAGTCCAAATACCACTTTTTTTTTTTAACTTTTGAAAACAGTATGGTAGTCAGGAGCACCAACAATGAAGTTCAACTTCTGGCTGTACTGCTTGCTTGATTGACAGGGTCTTGCCGTGTTGCCCAGGTTGGAGTGCATCGGCATGATCATAGCTCACTGACACCTCCAACTGCTGGACTTGAGAGATCCCCCTGCCTTGCTCTCATGAGCTGCTGCGATTACAGGCACATGCCACTGCACCCGGCCTGGCTTTACCACTTTAAACTTTGAGAACTTATAAGTTATCTGTCTGATGCCTCATTTCTCTCACCTGCAAAAATGGAATAATTAGTGCTACTCATAGTAATAGCTAATACGTATTATGCATTTGCTATATATACCCCTCACAGTTCTAAGA